AAGTTGCCCAGGCGGGTCTCGAACCCGCGGGCTCAGGCAATCCACTCACCTCAGCCTCCCAAAGTGCGGGATTACAGGCTGAGCCACCGAGCCTGGCGAGGCTACTGATATTTAATTTACACAATTCATGCACGACAGATTCCTCCCAACCTCCCCTCCATGTGTTTTTAGATAAATGTTTAATTGTCTCCTGGTCTCTGCCTGTATGGAATTCTGTTAAGTGCCACAAGAAGGCACGGAAATCAATTACTTTTTTATGTTAGATTTGAGGTTCTGCAGAAATGTAGATTCAGGTTGTATTTTTAGGCAGCCACACAACTAACTTTGAAAAGCCAGTGATAATCTTACCTAAATCATTTGTAAATTAAAGAAATTAAAGATTTTTAAAAAACAGTTTATGATGGACTCACACATACCTTCAAAGTTATGTACCACGTATGTAACCTTTTGCGTTCCATCACTTGGCGTGTAGGTTATCTCTACTTTTCCAGGTCCGGGAACAATGAAATCAGTTGCTCTGTACTGTGGTTGTGGGAGGAGAGTGGGGGTGGAGGTGGGAAGGAAGTATAAATAAAAATACCCTATCAGGAATTATAATGAAAACAGGCACACAATATAGAGCCAACAAACACCAAGACAAATAGGGCAGAGTGGCTCTACCTTCTTTTTTAAGAGATGGGGATGAAAAGGTCCAAATGTTCCCAGAAATCAGTGAATGTTTATTAGGTGCCTACCCTGCACAGGGAAGTTTTCTGAGCACTGATCTGGAGAGGACAGAAAATAACATATGGTACTTTCCCTTAGGAAGCTTACAAGCAAATGTAGACATAGATACATAAGAAGCAATGGAAGAGCTTTCAAATGTCAGAAAGAGGATAGACAAAAAAATGCTACAGGACAACAAAGGGAGAGATAACTACAGACTGGAGACTGGAGAAGTCTTCCTAGAGAGAGAAGTAATGATAGTTGTTGAGAGAGCTGAAGCTTTGTCCTTACTGTGCCAGACGCCTCAAGCGTTTATCTGGCATCATCTCATTTTATTATTACATCAACTTTACAAGGAAGGAGCCATGATGCAGTGGAAATCGGGCGTCAAAGTCAAAGGACTTGGGACCTGGTCCTTACTTAGACCTTCTGGGCTCAGTCTTTCCATGGTATTCCTGTGACTAAAACAAGGCCCTGGGCTTGTCCATATGAAGACATCATTCTGGAAGCAGCTGTGATAGGATGATGACCCTCCAGAAAGGACCGTTCAAGGACAGCCACCTCCCTTCAAGAGACTGAGCTGCTGTAGTGGAAAAATGTGCTCAGCACACAGTAGGCATCCACAAGTCTTTGCTGCCCTGGACCTTCCTCAATGACTTAGGTCAGGATGGCCACAGAGTCAGGTACCAGTGGGTAACTGTTTGCTGAGAGCAGCATTAGTGACAGTTCGTAAGAGTCGGCAGATAACAAAGGATTAAATACCTACACGGCACACTCCGGACTTTACATACTGCTCTCCACTATGGGTGGCCACTTCTCCTGTGTCTCAAAAGGGAGAAACTGAGGCACCAAAGACCCATAAATGCTTTGTGTAGGTTTATGTACATTTAAACAGCCAGTGAGCCAACCTGACGTTTGGAATTTTCAGTCTGGACTGTAATAAATAGAACGACCGTTCTTCCAAATAGCTGATGCCAAAATAATAAAAAATAAGGCTGGGCACGGTGGCTCAGCCGGTCACCCTGGCACTTTGGGAGGCCAAGGTCAAGAGGATTGTCTGAGCCTGGAAATTTGAGATCAGCCTGAGCAACTTGGTGAGATCTTGTCGCTACAATAAAACTAGCTGGGCATGCTGGCATGTGTCTGTCGTTCCAGTACTTGGAAGGCTGAGGCAGGAGGATCGCCTAAGCCCAGCAAGTCAAGGCTGTGGTGGCCGAGAGCATGCCACTGCATTCCAGCCTGGGTGACAAGAGTGAGACTCCAACTCAAAACTGCAACA